CAACATGGCAAAACCCAGTCTCTAAAACAGAAAAAAGAAGGAAAGAACAAAAGTTCTAGAAGGGCCGGGCATGGTAGCTCACGCCTGTAATCCTAGCACTTTGGGAGACCAAGGTGGGCAGATTTATTGAAGTCAGGAGTTCGAGACCAGCCTGGCCAATATGGTGAAACTCTTTACTAAAAATACAAAAATTAGCTAGGTGTGGTGGTGTGGGTGTGTAATGCTAGAGACTGAGGCAAGAGAATCACTTGAACTTGGGAGGTGGAGGTTGCAGTGAACCAAGATCGCGCCACTGCACTCCAGCCTAGGCGACAGAGTGAAACTCCGTCTAAAAAAAAAAAAAAAGTTCTAGAAGGGGAGGGACTTTACCTATTATTTCTCAGGGCTTAGCCCAGCACCTGGTACACAGTAGGTGCTCAGTATGTACGTTGGCTGATGAATGAATGAATGTATAGATCTTGTGGGTGGTGCCAACACTCTGCCAAGCATGAATGATCTGTGCTGAGTATTCCTTAGAGAAGCAGTTGAACATTAGGGCTCTGGGGTCAGGAGACCTGAATTTGAGTCCCATACAGTCAATTAATGGCTGTATGACCTTGGGCATATCACCTAACCTCTCTAAAACTTGGTTTCTTCATCTGTTAATTGGGGATAATGATCCCACATCTTGCAGTGTATCTTTAGGAACTAGAGCTTATGTATGTAAAGTGATCTGGTGCACGGTAGGTATTCAGTAAATGTTAGTTACCTTTTTCCACCCACCCCACCCCAATCCCACTTCCTCTGCTGGGGTATGGAGGTGGGAGTAAGAAGAGACAGTGCTGTGGCTGAGCCTCAAGCTCTTTCATCAGTGGCCTCAGAGAGACTTTGTAGTTCAAGGGTTTGGAGACTGGATTCAGCCAAATACAAAAGAGATTTCTATCTACTTCTTTTCTTTTTTGAGACAGGGTCTCTCTCTGTCACCCAGGCTGGAGTGCAGTGGTGTGAACAGGGCTTACTGCAGCTTTGACCTCCCCACCTCAAGCAATCCTCCCACTTCAGCCTCCTGACTAGCTAGGACCACAGGCACGCACCACCACACCAGACTACTTTCTTTTAATTTTTGTAGAGATGAGGTCTTGCTAAGAAGGCTGGTCTCAAACTCCTGGTCTCAGGTGATTCTCCCACTTCAGCTTCCCAAAATGCTGGGATTACAGGCTTGAGTCACCATTCCCACCTGCTGTCTATTTGTTTTCTTTTCTATTCTTTTCTTTTCTTTTTTTCTGAGACGGAGTGTTGCTCTGTCGCCCAGGCTGAAGTGCAATAATGCTATCTCGGCTCACGGCAACCTCCGCCTACTGGGTTTGTTCAAGCAATTCTCTGCCTCAGCCTCCCAAGTAGCTGGGATTACAGGTGCCCACCACCACACCCAGCTAATTTTTGTATTTTTAGTAGAAACAGGGTTTCACCATCTTGGCCAGGCTAGTCTTGAACTCCTGACCTCATGATCCACTTGCCTCAGCCTCCCAAAGTGCTGGGATTGCAGTCACGAGCCACCTCACTTGGCTTTTTTTTTTTTTTTTGAGATGGAGTCTTGCTCTGTTGCCCACACTGGAGTGCAGTGGCTCAATCTTGGCTCACTGCAACCTCCGCCTCCCGGGTTCAAGCAATTCTCCTGCCTCAGCCTCCTGAGTAGCTGGGATTACAGGAGGTACCCACCACCACACCAGGCTAATATTTTGTATTTTTAGTAGAGACGGGGCTTCACCGTGTTAGCTAGGAGATCTCCTGACCTCATGATTTGGCCACCCAAAGTGCTGGGATTACGGGCGTGAGCCACCGCGACTGGCCCTTTTTTTTTTGAGACTGAGTCTCACTCTGTTGCCAAGGCTGGAGTGCAGTGGCACGATCTGGGCTCACTGCAATTTCCGCCTCCTGGAGGTTGCAGTTAGCCAAGATCATGATTTTCCTGCCTCAGCCTCCTGAGTAGCTGGGATTACAGGCATGCGCCACCATGCCTGGCTAATTTTTTTGTATTTTTGGTGGAGATGGGGTTTCACAGTGTTGGTCAGGCTGGTCTCGAACTGCTGACCTTATGATCCACCCACCTCCACCTCCCAAAGTGCTGGGATTACAGGTGTGAGCCACCTCACCCAGCCAGGAGAGAGAGAAAGAGAGAGAGAGAGAGAGAGAGAGAGAGACAGAGTCTTGCCTGTCACCCAGGCTGGAGTGCAAGGGCTCAATCTAGGCTCACTACAATCTCCACCACCCGGGTTCAAGCGATTCTCCTGCCTCAGCCTCCTGAGTAGCTGGGATTACAGGCGAGAGCCACCAAACCCAGCTAATCTTTTGTATTTTAGTAGAGACGGGGTTTCACCATGTTGGCCAAGCTGGTCTCGGACTCCTGACCTCGTGATCTGCCCACCTCAGCCTCCCAAAGTGCTGGGATTACAGGCGTGACCGGCCTGAGAACAATATTTAAGATTAAAAAAGGCTGGGCGCTGTGGCTCAGGCATGTAATCTCCGCACTTTGGGAAGCTGAGGCGGGCAAATGACTTGAGGCCAGGAGTCCAACACCAGCCTGGCCAGCATGGTTAAACCCCATCTCTACTAAAAATACAAAAATTAGCTCGGTGGCAGGGTGGTGCACAGCTACTTGAGAGGTTGAGGCTGGAGAATCACTGGAACCTGATCGGCAAAGGTTGCAGTGAGCCAAGATCACACCACTGCACTCCAGCCTGGGCAACAGAGCCAGACTGTCTCAAAAAAAAAAAAAGAAAGAAAAAGAAAAACAGAAAAAAAAGTTGCAGCAATGAATCAGATAGACGCAATTTCTGAATTTTCACCACAGCACATATGTTTAAAATCAGAAAAACAAAATTTTAAAGTAACAGGTGGAGTTGGGGGAAAATAAATAAATAAAAGTAACAACAGGTCGGGCATGGTAGTTCACACCTGTATCCCTTATCACTGCACTTCGTTTTTCGTTTTTTGTTTTTTTTTGAGACGGAGTCTTGCTCTTTTTGCCCAGACTGGAGTGCAGTGGCACCATCCTGGCTCACCACAACCTCCGCCTCCCAAGTTCAAGTGATTCTCCTGCCTCAGCCTCCCAAGTAGTTGGAATTATAGGCATGTGCCATCACACCTGGCTAAATTTTTGTATTTTTAGTAGAGACAGGGTTTCTCCATGTTGGTCAGGCTGGTCTCAAACTCCTGACATCAGATGATCCATCCACCTCGGCCTCCGAAAGTACTGGGATTATAGGCATAAGCCACCACACTGGGCCTTATCCCTGCACTTTGGGAGGCTGAAGCCAGCAGATCACTTGAGCCCAGGAGTTCAAGACCAGCCTGGGCAACATGGCCAGACCCTTATCTCTACAAAAAAATTGTTTTAATTAGCTGGGTGTTGTGGCATGTGCCCGTAGTCCCAGGGACTTAGGAGGCTGAGATTCGGAGGACTGCTTGAGCCGGAGTGGTTGAGGCTGCAGTGAGCCACGATTATGCCAGTGAATTCCAGTCTGGGCAACAGAGTGAGACCCTGTCTCAAAAAACAAACAAACAAAAAAAAAAAAAAACAAAGAAAACAGGCTGGGTGCAGTGGCTCACGCTGTAATCCCAGCACTTTGGGATTACACCGCACCTCAAAAACAAAAAACAAAACAAAACAAAAAAACAAAGACAGAATAAAACAAACAAATAAAAAAACAAAATTAGCCGGGCATGGTGGTACATGCCTGTAATTCCAGCTACTCAGGAGGCTGAGGCAGGAGAATAGCTTGAACCCAGAGGTTGCAGTGAGCTGGGATCATGCCATTGCACTCCAGCCTGGTCAACAAGAGTGAAACTCCATCTCAAAAAACAGGTTGGGTGCGGTGGCTCACGTGGGAGGCCAAGGCGGGCAGATCACAATGTCAGGAGTTTGAGACCAGCCTGGCCAACATGGTGAAACTCTGTCTCTACTAAAATTACAAAAATTAGCTGAGTATGGTGGTGGGTGCCTATAGTCACAGCTACTGAGGAGGCTGAGGCAGGAGAATAGCTTGGACCTGCAGAGAAACATGTAAATATATTATTCATTCTCTAGTCCCAGAAAGGTCTGTGTAGGTGCAGTGGAAAAAGCATCAGCCACAAATTCCATAGCACTGGTTCAGGACCAGGAACTAACTAGTTTGCTCTGTGACAGTGGGGTAATCACACACCCTCTCTGAGCAGATCTCCCCTTCTCTAAATTTGCTATGCTGTACATCAACACTCATCATACTCTGGTTTGCAAAGGCTAATCAACAGAGTGCTTTAGAAAGCCTTTACCTTAGGGCCAGGTGCCGTGGCTCACGCCTGTAATCCCAGCATTTTGGGAGGCCAAGGCAAGTGGATCACAAGGTCAGCAATTTGAGACCAGCTTGGCCAATATGGTGAAAAGCCTTCGCTTCTAAAAATGCAAAAAAGTTAACTGGGCATGGTGTCACTTGCCTACTCTGGAGGCTGAGGCAGGAGAATAGCTTAAACCCAGGAGGCGGAGGTTGCAGTGAGCCAAGATCGCGCCACTGCACTTCAGCCTGGGCGACAGAGTGTGACTCCGTCTCAAAAAAAGACAAAAAGAAAGCCTTTACCATGGTATGCACAGAGTTTATTATTATACCTTTTCTAGGCTCTGAAAAACTGCCAGATCATGAGCAGTGCTGTGCGGAGTTGATCACGTGGCGCAATCTCTTTGGGCTTCTGAAAATAGCAGATGACCAGGACAAAGGCCCGGTGACTTCTCAATTTCTTTCAGCGCTAAAACACAAAAAACAGAAACTTGGAATTTCTCAGTGGCTTGACTACAAACTCCGCAGGTTACCTCCCTCCCTCCTGCCCCTAAGGGGCGCTGTCCCTTTAAATCCAGACACGGGCCAATCACAGTGAACAGAAGTTCTTTAAGGACCAAAGGAGGGAATTCAGTTTGAGGAGGGCGGGGCAGGGGCGTGCCCTCCAGCCAATCGGAATCTCTCTGGAGAACAGTGACTCACGTGCAAAGCTCTGCCGACCAATGTCCTGAGCGTCGAGAGGCGGGGCGGCTCCTGATGTGTGGCAGCGGCCGGGACCAATGGGCACGTCGCCCGCGGCCTATAAGAGTCCGCTGGGCTCCCGGCTGCAGGCGCTAGGGTCGGTCAGTCGTCGCCGTCCGAGGTGTGCCTTGGCTTTGTCTCGCCGTCGCTGCCGCCTCGTACCTGCCTCCGTGCCCCCCGCCTTGGCTCCTGCCCAGCCGCTCTTCCTGTCCTCTCCCCTTAACCACCCCCACGGTTTCTGCCGTCGGGGCCCGGGGTCCGGGCAGATGATGCCGTCGGAGAGCGGAGCTGAGCGCGGGGATGGGGCAGCTGTGCAGGTGGGGATGGCTGCGGCCACGGCGGTGGCCACGGTAGCCCCGGTAGGCGGCGGCCCCGACCCGGAGGCCTTCTCGGCCTCCCCCGGACGGCACCTGAGCGGGCTGAGCTGGCCACAGGTGAAGCGACTGGACGCTCTCCTAAGCGAGCCGATTCCCATCCACGGGCGCGGCAATTTCCCCACGCTGAGCGTGCAGCCGCGGCAGATCGTGCAGGTGAGAGGACGCTGGGCGGGGGATATGGTGGAATCCCTTCTGAGGCTCTCGAGGCTGGAAGGCATTTGGAGTCTGTTTGACTCTCTAGACAGCTAGAGAAACTGAGGAACGTGGACAGGGTTGTAACAATTACATAGCATTATGAATCGCAGACCAGACCTACCCCTGCATCTACTAATCCTTCCCCATCTGGCTTTTCCATCTCGACTCCTGGAGAACTCTGATTCCCCACGGACCACTCACCCAGGCCCTGGCTGGGGGAGGGGAGAAGGATGTCGAGGGCATTGGGGAAGAATTTGTCTCTGCCTGCAAGGACAAAAGATGCCAGGCGGCCCTGGGTGGGTGAGTGTGAATGCTTGAGTTCAAAATAGATTTTCCTTCCCTATCTGGGCATCCCTGGACCTCAGCCTCCTTTCCTCTCGAGGTTCTAGGAGTAGACTCTAGGCCTTATGTTCCTACAGCCCTTTGCTGGAGAAACCTGCCCTTCCCCCTGGGCCCTGTGGAAAAGCCAGGAAAACTTGTCAGGGACTCCCTCACTCGGCTGCGGTTGTGGCCCAAGATTTATTAAGCTGAAGGTCAGACCTGATACCCCACCCCCAACAGCAACATTAAATGACCAATTTAGGTGCTGCTGCTTCTTCCCAAGATTGGAAATGAAGGCCGACCCAGGCCTCAGGCCCCACGTCCCATCTCTCCTGAGGAACGGGAGAAGAGAATTCTGACGGCCCCTCCCTCCTCCTTGGTACTCCAAATCTTCCCTTTATCTGAACCTCAACGACCCCAAGACTGCTTTTTCATCTGTACAGCCCAGACGATGTCATGTTCTGAAATACCATTTTATAGCTGGGGCAGTGAGCCACCCAAGATTACTTAATGAGGTGAAAATCAAACCCAGGGAATCTTGGGTCTTCCCAGGAGCAGATTATGGTAGGTTCAATGTTTTCCAACCCCTACCCCTGCTCCCAAGGTCAACTTCTAGGTCTTAGGAAGGCTCCTCTGATAAAAGAAACCAGGAAACTCAGAGAGGACTCCTGTGGATTCCTGCCAGGTGATAGCTTTCTTCCTGAGGAGGCAGACTCACCGGCTGGATGAAGCAGGCCTTTCCCTTGCCTCCTACCACCTTAGCTTCCTGCAGAGGGGGAGGGGTGCCTGCTGGCAGATTACCTCCCTCACCCTCCGGAGGAACTAGGAACAGGATGGGGTGAGGGCAGATTATCCTGGGCTGACTCATGGGGCCGAAGCATTCCTCGGCTGCTCTGCTCAAGGAACTAGTCACCTGGGGAAACCAGTCAAGGCTTTACTCCCCAGGACTGTCAAGTCAATCCTGGGGCCCCAGCTGCTGCACCTCCATGACTTTGGCCCCAGGCATGGCGGGGGGTGGGAGGTGGAGCCCAGTGTGGCAGCCTCCCTCTGCAAGAACAGGGGGTACCTGGAGGGAGGAGAACTCCTTGCCCTGTCAGTATGGTTTAAACTGCCCCTATTGGTGTCTGCTCTGTGCCAAGCCCTGTTTAGGAAGCCAAGGGCACAGATTTGACTGGGACTCGGCCTCCACCCCTTCAGGTGCTCCTAGCCAGATGGGGAATACTCCAGGTCAATAGGAGCTAACCTTACAATTTGATGGTGGTACCATGTCCTTCCAGACCCGGGTCAGAGAGAGCACAGAACCGGGAGCTGTTGGCAGCAGTGAGGAAGGGTGGCAGAGACTTCAGAGCTGGGCTGGGAAGTTGGACTTGGATTCAGGGCCTGGGCTGTTTGTTGTCAGTTCTGTTTGCTGGGCTCAGTGTCCCTGTCTGTTCAGTTGGGACTAGGCTGCTGCTTTCCAACACCCTCTAGTTCCTGACTCCAAAGGGGACAGGTGCTTTCACCTGGTCTGCACAGCTGCCTCCACAGGAAAGAAAGTTTCTTGGAATAAATCCACAACCTTGAAGCTGGCAACCTTGAAAGCTGTTGGGATGTGTGCAGGGATGGGGGCAGGGGAGAGGGGGAGCGTGGTGCCGGCTGTTGCCTCATGGCTTTTCACCACTGCTGAGTTGTCCTATGGCTCAAAAATTGGAACCTATCTCCATCTCCACCCCTACAAGGCTTTGCCTGGAGTGACAACCTGAGCAGCTAGATGCTGTTCTTGCTTGTATCTGTGCTAAAGGGACCCGCCCTACTGTAAGGAGGCTTCCCAAAACTACAGGCAAGGAGGCCTTTTATTAGCTGTGTAACCTTGGACAAGTCCTTTGCTTCTCTGGGCCCAGAGGATTGAACTGAACAATCTGATCTCTCCAGTTGCAGCCAGAGGGCCTGCATCAGGCTGCGCTGCAAGTGAGTTTTGTGAGCCTGCTGGCTGACAGCGTCTGTCAGCCTCCCCGCAGGTCTCAGCAGCAGCCTGGAGCAGAGTGGGGAGGGTCTTGGCATGGGAGAAAGGAGGGTGCAGCCATTGCCCCCTCCATGGCTGGAAAGTCTGATTCAGGAGGCACCAAGCTGCCCTGCAGTACTTGGGTGTGGTGGTAACTGGGGACCGCCTGCCAAACTGGCAGTAGTCACACCTGGGAAGGAGACAGCAGTGACTGGCTGGCTGACACAGCTGGCCCCATGGCCCTGACGCAGGGGATTTAACAAGAGTACTCCTGCCTACTCACTAGGCCAGGTGCCATGCCCTGGGGTGGGCACCGGCCTGGGAGCAGGAGCTGGCACCAAGTAAGCCTCAGTCAGCCCTAATGGGATTTGAGGAAGTGGCTGGTCTTCTCTGCAGGCTTGGCAGTCCTTGGACCAAGGTCTTTGGCCCATGCAGGCACAGCTGCCAGCTGACAGGGTGTGGGTTAGAAGTTCCACAGGCTGGACTGCAGCAACTGGCCCTGTCTGGCCAAGGCATTTCCCAACCCCCACCTTCCTGTTCCCCAACTACTCTGGCTCTGGGCTTCAGTGACTTGAGGATTGCCTTCAAAATTTGGAAAGAGAAGGAGGAGTCTATGCTCCTTCCAAACCCTGGGACTGTAATGTGGTACATTCAGGATAGGCTTTGAAGTCAGCCATACACGGGTTTGAAGGCATCTCTGCATGATCTTGTGCAGGTGACATAACTCCTGCGAGCTTCAGTTTCCCAGAAGATCATAAAGACCTGTCCCGAGCCGGGCACAGTGGCTCATGCCTATAATGCCAGCACTTTGGGAGGCTGAGGCAGGAAAAGAGTTTGAGTCCAGGCGTTGGGACCAGTCTGGGTAAAGTAGCAAGATCCCATCACTGCAAACAATAAAAAAGTTGCTGGGTGTGGTGGCACACACCTGTAATCCCACCTACTTGGGAGGCTGAGGTGGGAGGATTGCTTGAGCCCAAAGGCAGAGGTTGCAGTGAGCTGAGATTGTGCCACTGCATGCACTCACTCACTGCATTCCAGCCTGGTTCACAAGAGCAGAACTCTCTCAAAAAAAGAAAGAAAGAAAGAAATGGAGGGAAAGGTAGAGAAGGGGATTTGTAAAGGCAGAAAAAATTCCTTATTAAAAAATAAAGACCTGTCCTGGCATGGTAGCTCATGCCTGTAATCCCAGCACTTTGGGAGGCCTAGGCAGGCAGATCACAAGGTCAAGAGTTTGAGACCAGCCTGACCAACATGGCAAAACGCTGTCTCTGCTAAAAATACAAAAAATAGCTGTGTGTCATGGCAGGTGACTTTAATTCCAGTTACTCTGGAGGCTGAAGCAGGAGAATCACTTGAACCTCAGAGGCGGAAGTTGTAGTGAGCTGAGATCGCACTGCCCTCCAGCCTGGACTCCATCTCAAAAAAAAAAAAAAAAAGACCTGTTCGCATAGATTCTGGCCACGAGGTCCAGTGCTGGCACTCACTAGGTGCCTAGCCTCCCTCCTCCACCCTCTGTGTTCCTGACAGCCAGGTGCTTACCCTCCCGTTGCCATGACAATATCTTCTAGTAAAGGTGCTCCTCCCGGAAGTCTTCCTGAAGGGCGCCGCCCGCCTCAGATTGCCCCACCACAGCTTGCCTTCTCAGCACTTAGGTACATTCTTTGTAGTAATTCCCTGGGAGGAAAGGAGAACAGCCTAGTCTAGAGCTGGGTGCTGACTTGGCAGCAAGGCAGGGTTGCAGAAGCACTCAGGGCAGGAATGGTGCCTGGTCACTTTCAGAACAACTTTGGGTTACTGAGGAATCTGAACGTCCCCGACCCTCAGCTTACTCTTCTCCCCACCTGGTACCTCAGCCGAGGGACCACTTCTAGGTTTATCTGTCATGTGCCATCAGGCCTGGGGGCTGAGGGCTGAGACTTTTCACTGGGCCTTAGTTGTTTCACCTGTAAGCCTGTTTGACTATAAGCCTCAGTTTCCTCATCTGAAAGCAAATAAAAGTATGTAATATTTGCCTCACTGGGTCCTTGTAAGGATGAATTAGGATGAGTACATCATAGTCAAAAGGACATACATGAACTTGAGTATCCAGCTAACCTGGGTTCTGATCTCAGCCTGACCGCTCTATGACCTTGGACATGTTTCTTAACCTCTCTGTGCCTCAGTCTTCCATCTATCAATCAAAATAATAATACTCAAATGTAGGATTATCAGGAAGGTTAATGTGGTCATGAATGTGAACTGCTAACCATATTCCCAACATGTTTGAGCAGTCAGCACAGTGCCTGTCACAAAACTGTTTTCCTAGCAGTTTGAGAGAGATGAATAGCATGGTTAAGACTTGGGCTCAGTTTTATTCCCACCTCTGCATTCACCAGCTGTTTGCTTTTGAGCTAGGTACTTGGCCCCTCTGTACTTCCATTTTTGCATCTGAAAGTGGGAATAATAGTATCCACCTCACAGGGTTATTGTGAGGATTAAGTGACCTGCCATTTAGTAAATTCCATGCATAAATAGCTATTATCATTGCTATTCTTTCTGAGTCATTCCTCCAGATGGGCCATTCTCTACATTCTGCTTAGAGAGTTAAATGACTTCCCCCACCCCCCAAAAAAGTTAAATGACTTTCCAAAGGCATAACAGCTGGTTAGGGGCCAACAGTGGTTGAGGTTACTGTGATGATTGCATGGAAGCCCTTGGTGGACCCCTGGGGCCTGCTCCTGACACCTCTCCCTCCTGCTGTCCCCTCCACAGGTGGTCCGCAGCAGCCTGGAGGAGCAGGGACTACGCGTGCACAGTGTGCGGCTGCATGGTTCAGCTGCCAGCCACGTGCTACACCCTGAGAGTGGCCTGGGCTACAAGGACCTGGACCTAGTGTTCCAGGTGGACTTGCGCAGTGAGGCATCCTTCCAGCTGACCAAGGCAGTGGTGCTGGCCTGCCTGCTAGACTTCCTGCCGGCCGGTGTGAGCCGGGCCAAGATCACCCCACTGACGCTCAAGGAGGCGTACGTACAGAAGCTGGTGAAAGTGTGTACAGACTCAGACCGCTGGAGCCTCATCTCACTGTCTAACAAGAGCGGCAAGAACGTGGAGCTCAAGTTTGTGGACTCAGTGAGACGCCAGTTTGAATTCAGCATAGACTCCTTCCAGATCATCTTGGACTCCCTGTTGCTCTTTGGCCAGTGCTCGTCCACTCCCATGTCTGAGGCCTTCCACCCGACGGTCACAGGCGAAAGCCTGTATGGGGACTTCGCCGAGGCCCTGGAGCACCTGCGGCACCGTGTCATCGCCACGCGCAGTCCGGAGGAGATCCGAGGTGGTGGCCTCCTCAAGTACTGCCACCTCCTGGTGCGGGGCTTTCGGCCCCGGCCCAGCACCGACGTGCGTGCCCTGCAACGCTACATGTGCTCCCGCTTCTTCATCGACTTTCCGGACCTGGTGGAGCAGCGGCGCACCCTAGAGCGCTACCTAGAGGCCCACTTCGGTGGAGCTGATGCCGCCCGCCGCTACTCCTGCCTGGTGACACTACACCGGGTGGTCAACGAGAGTACCGTGTGCCTCATGAACCATGAGCGCCGCCAGACGCTGGGCCTCATTGCTGCACTGGCGCTGCAGGCACTGGCTGAGCAGGGCCCTGCTGCCACTGCTGCCCTGGCCTGGCGCCCACCAGGCACCGATGGCGTTGTGCCGGCCACTGTCAATTATTATGTGACCCCTGTGCAGCCTCTCCTCACTCGTGCCTATCCCACCTGGCTGCCTTGTAACTGACTCAGACCCTGGCCAGAAGGGAAGGGACTAGGTCTCACAGGGTGGGGTGGGGCCTCCAAGAGTGTGTGGAGGACATGATCAGGGATAGGCAGCCTGTGCCAGGTGGCCCAGCACTGCAGGGTTGGGCCTTCTATTGAACAAACCAGACTGCCCTGAGCACAGGGCCACTGTGGGCTTAAGGCCAGGCTGGAGTTCTCAGCTGGAGGACCCTTTGGTTATTGCATCACACTTTTGGACCCAGCATGACAGCGGGGTACAGGAGCCATTTGTCTTGGAGTTCAGTTGCCTTCAGGAGACAAAGCAAGTTTGGGGTGGTAGCCTTAATCCCCAGCACCTCAGATTGATTCCCATGGCCTACAAGGGCCTTTTTGACTAGGGCCGGCCTGTGGTGATCCCGGCAGCTTTGGAGGGCCTGTAGCCCACACACTGACTGATATATGGTATGTTACAGGGACTTGTCACTTTGGGTTAGGCTGGGCCACTACAGGGCCTGATGGTCCAACTTGGGTAATCACTAGGGGGTGGGAAACTGAGGCATGAGGCAGCTACCTTGGTTTGGGGAGGGCTGGGTTTACCCTGCTTCTCTGAAATAGATACCCTAAGCTGTGAAGCCTTCCTCTTGAAGGGTTGAGATGGGCAGTGCACAGGAGCCAAGCAGCGCAGGCCGGGTCACAGCCCAAGCCCTTCCAGGGTGTCACTCCTTTCCCCCTTGTATTGCAAGGAGCCCTCCTGCCTGGGAGCTTGTTCTTCGGAGGGTGCTGAGCCTAATTTGCCACAGTGAAGTCAACATTCCTGCCCCACTGGCTTGGTTACAGGGCTCTCATGTGGGGGGGGGGGGAGCCCTGTAACCGCCCTGCACATTCCCCTGGATTTGTTGCTATTTTGCACTCCTAACACCTGCCAATAAAGATGGTCTACACTGAGCCTAGTGCCATGCTTTCTCTGGGGAAAGAAGGACCTTCCATAGCTGTGGGGGCTGCAGCTGCCTCCTCCAGTTGGAGTCTGGCTTATAATGTGGAGAGTAGCATTTGTGGGGGACAGGGTTTGAAGCCTGGGCTGTGTCTGAGGGACTGTTTCTCCTTCCCCCAGCATCAGCCGCAGCCTGACCAGCTGTACACTGGGAGCTGCTGTCTACACGTGTAACCTGAACCTGCACATTGCCTCAGCAGGGCTAGGACTCTTGTTAAGAAGTAACTATTTTCATGTTTTCTACCTGGAATCCAATAGCTCTGGGCCTAGCCTCAGACTCTAGTGCTCAGGGGTACTTGAGCCCAGCTCTGTCTACCCCATCTCTTCAAGGGAGCAGCTAGAGAACAGGCTGGATGAATCTGGACTGGTGGCCCCTCCAGTAAAGGCAGCTGAGACTGGGGAACTCCTAGGGTCCCCCCAAGCCTGAGCTCAGGTAGGGCCTCTACTTGGGAGAGGCTCCCTCAGTCCTCCAGCGCCTTCCCTTACCCAGAGCACTGACCAGTGTACTCTGGCTCTCTCTAATCAGATCCTCTGGAGCAGGAGGGTCTCCCCTTTCCAAACCCAGATGGGGCCATGCCAGGCTGTCTAGGAGTGTCAACCGCAAGCTCCCAGGATGCTGTACCCTCAAGGCATCAGCCAGTCAGTCATGGGCCTGGACGCTGCCCACTGTTTACCCAGCCTCTTTGATCTAAGGATTGCAAAGCCCTTAACTTATTCAGCCTCATTAGGGGCCTCTGAAGTGGTGACTTTGATGGTTCTAGCCAGGGTAGAAAAAACAAGGCTGCAGAGGAGGCTCCAGGTCACCAGGTAAGTCCAGCCACCGCACCTGCTCTGAGTCCTTTCTGCTGGGCTCAAAATAGCTGGAAGGCAAACAGAAAGGCTTTCTTTGCTTGGTGACACCCACCCCCATCCCAACTGTGCCCACCCCAACTAGGGTCATGGGAAGGACTAAGTTTGTCCCAGCTCCTGAGTTGGCCATTTGAGACTTGGCATAAGAGGCTCACTGTAAATACAACAGACTTACCTTTTTGGGCTGGGGGTTGGGGTTCACCTGGATGTGTTTGTCTTAAAGGCTGAAGAAACCAGGCCAGGCGCAGTGGCTCATGCCTGTAATCCCAGCACTTTGGGAGGCCGAGGCAGGCAGATCACCTGAGGTCGGGAGTTCAAGAACAGCCTGACCAACATGGAGAAACCCTCTACTAAAAATAGAAAATAAGCTGGGTACGATGGCGCATGCCTATAATCCCAGCCATTTGGGAGGCTGAGGCAGGAGAATCACTTGAACCGGGCAGGCGGAGGTTGGAACAAGAGTGAAACTTTTTTTCAAAAAAAAAAAGGCAGAAACCCATGTGGTACATGTATGTATACACCGCATTCAGCCACCATGTGCCAGATACTGTTCTAGAGGCTGGGAATACATCACCAAATAAAAGACAAAATTCCTGTCCTTGTGAAGATTACATTCTAATGGAGTAGATAGAAAATAAACTGGACTGTCTGTTCTTATGTGGTCCATGATATGTAAAACTATAAAAAATACAGCAGGGTAAGGGACTGGAAATGCTGGGGCTTGCAAATTGAAAAAGAAGTCAGGGTGCAACTCATTGAAAGGTGACATTTGATTGAACAAAGACAAAGGTGGTGGGAGGTGAGCATAAGGATGTCTAGGGAAAGAGCATTCTGGACAGAGCTTGCTGGTGAATGTGCACGTGCTCTGGCACATGTACCTGAGGGTGTCTGGCTGGCCTCATGCAGATGCTGGTCCTGCACATATGCACGGGCACGAGGCAGTGGGGGCGTGTGAGACACGTGTTCATAGTAGCAGCCACTATATCTGGTGGGTTTCACTCCAGCAGGCACTATGCTGAGGTCTTCACAATCATGATCTCTCATATCATCCTTGCAACAACTCCACAAAGAAACAAAGTATTCTTTCCATTTGGCAGGCACAGAAACTGAGGCCAGAGAGGTCAAAGAGGTTTTTCTGGATCCAGAGCAATTGCTGTTCCATCCTGCTCCTGCACTGTGATTTCACATGATGTGACAGTATGTCTCCTGTATGTATGTGACAGCAGGACATAATTTGACATTACTGTGACATTTGTCATTTTGTATGTGACTATGTCACAGTGTAGTAGTTTGTGCCAAGATGTACGTTTTCTTGATGCACATGTGACACTAGTTATGGCTTGTGATGACTGTCAAGGGCTCATGGTGGCAGCAGCATGCCTGTGGGTATGTTTGGGAATGGTGCAGTATTTCTGGGTGTGAGAAAAACACTGACTCAGTGGCTGGCATTGTTCCTCCTGTGGACAATTCCTGTGGCTACCTAAGATACCAGGACAGGCAGGGATCAGGAACTGGGACTTAGAGCCAGCAAGGCAAAGGCTGAGAGGGAAAAGCCCTGTCCTCCCTCCACCTTCCAACCTCACTGTGCTCTCCAAGCAACAGTCCACCCACCCCTTCAGACCCAACGGGTGGCGGGAGTTCCGGATGGGGAAGGAGTGTTGCTGTGGGCTTTGGGGAACAAGGCACACCCTCAGACAGTTAAATGATATGCTGCCCTTCCACATCCACTCACCAAACTTCTGCTCTGCGCCCTGGGGCCTGACATCTGTGGACTGCATCAATTGCTCCCTTGTTCCCCAGCTTCCTGTTGGGTTGCCAGTGAGACATCCCAGCATCTTAAGAAGACTTAAGGGAGGAGTAGGAGATGTTTATTCTCTTTGTTCCCTCTCCACCAGGTTGCCATGGTTGGTCATATCCCTTCCTGTCAGGGGCCCCACTCCACAGTGACCTCTCCTCACCCTCAGACTCAGGCGTTATAAAGGTTTCTCACTTGCTGGCCCCAGAGAGCGGCACCATCCTTTGTTAGTATCTTTTCTGGCGGGGGATGGCACTCACCCAGGCTGGCATGCAGTGACACACTCGGCTCACTGCAACGTTTGCCTCCCAGGTTCCAGCGATACTCCTGCCTCAGCCTCCCGAGTAGCTGGGACTACAGGTGTGCACCACCAAGCCCAGCTAATTTTTGTATTTTTAGTAGAGACAGGGTTTTGTCATGTTAGCCACACTGGTCTCAAACCCCTGACCTCAGTTGATCTGCCCACCTCAGGCTCCCAAAGTGCTGGGATTACAGGCATGAGCCACCACACCAAGCCCCTTGTTAGTTTCTTTTTTTTTTTTGAGACGGGGAGTTTCGCTCTTGTTACCCAGGCTGGAGTGCAATGGCATGATCTTGGCTCACCGCAACCTCTGCCTCCTGGGTTCAGGCAATTCTCCTGCCTCAGCCTCCTGAGTAGCTGGGATTACAGGCACGCACCACCATGCCCAGCTAATTTTTTGTATTTTTTTTTAGTAGAGACGGGGTTTCACCGTTTTGACCAGGATGATCTCGATCTCTTGACTTCATGATCCACCTGCCTCGGCCTCCCAAAGTGCTGGGATTACAGGCGTGAGCCACCGTGCCTGGCCCCTTGTTAGTTTCTTAAGCCCAGCCCACGCCTTTGGAAATAGTCTTTTTGTTTTATTTCTTGAAATAGGGTCTTGTTCTGTCACCCAGGCTGGAGCACAGTGGTACAATCACAGCTCAATGCAGCCTTGACCTCCTGGGCTACAAGCAATCCTCCCACCTCACCCTCCCAAGTAGCTGGGACCACAGGCATGTGCCACCCCCCCGGCTAATTTTTTCATTTTTATAGGTAAGGGATCTCCCAGGCTGGTCTTGAACTCCTGGGCTCAAGCTACCCTCCCACTTTGGCCTCCCAAAGTGTGGGGATTACAGGCATGAGCCGCCATGCCAAGCCAGAATAGCCTATTTTTCAAACACTTCCTAGTTTGAGTATGGAATCTCTTGCTTAGACACTGACAAACAGGTCCACATGGTCACCAGCACAGTCACACACAGTCACACAACCCCCACAGGCCATCGTACTGCCATGTTGTCACCAATACACCCAACCCCCCTGTGTCACATGGTCTCACATGTGCATTCTCATCCCTGAGCTCCCTCATCACATCCTTTAATGAGGAAGACTTCCTGAGGAGGGGGTAAGAGCAGGTGGCCGTGAGCCAGGTCAAGGGAGAATGGGTCTGCTAATCAAAGTCAGTTGACAGGGCCAGACTGCCAAATCAAACAAGATAGAAGCCGCTCCAGGAACTGTCAACTTAAATAGCCATAACAGACACAGAGGAAAGACAGCAAGGACACTTGGCAAAGTAAACCGCAAAACCCAATGCATTTGCCTCTCATTATGGAAATTTATTCTTCCTGAATGTATAAGGCAGAAGACTAATTCAATATACATTCACTTGGCAGAATTCTACAAGTTCTGGGCTGTGTAAATGTGCCCCTCTTCCCTCTATTACCCGGATGTTTGCGTAAATGTGCTTCCTTTTTTTCATTTAAAACATTGCCTAGATGTTTTACATTGCCACCACCTCTTCCTGAGAAAAAGGTGTGTCCCTCACCCTACCCCGTAGGAGCCAGCAGACTCTCTTTCTGAGGGGCCGCAGGTACACTCCCACGTGGAGCAAACAAGGGCAGTGGATGAAGGAAACAGGGATTTTTCAAACTAATGTTTTCCCTCAAACAGGCCTCCCTCACCCTTAGACTTTGAAGCAATGACATCTACTAAAATGGGGACCCCTGCTGGGCTGTGACTTGTTTATGAATGATGACTATGTCTAAAAGAAATTCCTGGCCCGGGATGGGGTGGGGGAAAGGGAAGAAAATAAAAGAAACTATTTTCAGTTTCCCATTGGCAATGCTTGCTACACTTAATCTGACTGCATCTCAGGGACCTGTAGCAACCTCTCCAATTGTGCAGTGTAAGCCAAAGTCAAATGTGGGGTACATGAAGAAATTCCGAGTGTTGGCCAGTTCCCCAGAACCCAGCCCCTTGCCAATGTGAAGTGAGAGGCTCCTGTAAGGAGGGCGCGGGGTTGTGTAAGGTCAATTCTCAGAGTCTTCCTGAAGTGCCCAGGGAGGAAGCCGAATCCAGGAGTCCAGATCCATAGAGTGGAGGCTCTGAGGAGTTGGAAGGAGCTGGAAAGAATAATTCCAAGAGCTTTAATGACCTCTTTCCCACAGCCACCCAGCCCCACCCAAGTCAAGGCCCTTCGACTTGAAATCTGCCTGAAGAAGGGCCATTGTGGAGAGAAGATGCAGGAGGCAATAGTATGGAATGGGGATCCTGGGGGAAGCAGTGGTTCCCTTGGGCCTTTGTCCTTGGCTGGGATTCCCTAGCCTGAGCAGTTAGAATGGAATGTTCCTGGGATGAAAAGCCTGCCCCTCCTCCACTTTTCCCCTTATGGAGTTCCCCAGGGCCCATTCCAGGGATTCCTGATATGGTGATGCTTTGGAGAAGCAGAAGCCCACACTGCCCGGGGTTCTGTCCTGGTGGCCTCTCCAGGGCTGGGCAGGTTGGTTCCATCATTTATGGATCTCTACCATGTACTAGGTACTTAGTATGACTTCTAATTTAATATTCAAGTTTTCTACTTCCTAGCTCCCCGCAAAAATACAAAAACATCTTGTAGGTCTGGATCTGAAAAAAAAAAAAGAAAGAAAGAAAAAGAAAAAGAAAAAATACCAAAAAAAAAAAAATCAGAAGAAACTGGCTCAGAAAAGGGAAGGCATTACTCAGGATCACTCAGTCGAGGAGTTCCAGGCCAGGACTAAATGTCAGGTCTGTCTTGTTCCCTTTTTGCCCCCACCGTGAAGTGTGTCATCCTCCTCCTCTGCCATCCCAGCTCTTTGCTCTCCTTGACACCAAACATTCCAGCCCAGATATGCAGGGAGAGGAAGCAGCCCTCCAAAGCAAGCCCTTGGGAGGCTTAAGCCCAGAGCATCCTTGGCCCACCCTCCTCAGAAGCCATGTGTGCTGACTCAGCCTGACTCACCCCCCAGAGCCCAAGCAGGCTGGGGTGTGCCCAGACTCTGGGGGGAGGGGCACTTTCTGCCACCCGTCCAGCATCTCATGTCCCTTCCAAGACCCAAGGACCAGGAGTCACTATACACAGCCTGGAATGTGGGAACCCAGATATCCCCCTAAATGGACACCTCTTTAGAAGGGTCCTGATAAATGAATCACCATACAGCCTAATGTTTAAGGAATCCCCCAGTTACAGCTCCTATGTCTTTAGGCAAGTCACCCGCCCTCCCTGTTTCTTCACCTGTGGAAATGGGGATAATAACCCTTACTTTGCAGAGTGGTGGCAAGGACTGGAACACATTAATGGGTGTAAAGTGCTCAAGGGCCTGGCATAGAGGAGGTGGTTAAGATATTACTCCAGAACCAAGGGTTCCCTTCCCCCATCGCCCCTGGCCAGGGTGCAGTCAAGGACTAATGGCGGGGGGAAGTAGGTTGGGGATCTCCAAGCTTTCCCAAATACCTCCACCTACACTGCTCTTATGACAGGGAGTCTCTCCTTCAGCTCTGAGAAGCCTGGGCACCTAATTTGTTCTTGAGGAGCCCACTGACAGGCTTAGGGAAGGAGAGTGGCTGTAGGCTTGAGGCTTGGAGCACCTCGGCCATGTTCTGTGGCTCCAGCCTAATCTCTTTCTTTTTAAGACGTAGTCTTGCTCTGTCACCGAGGCTAGAGTTCAGTGGCACAATAAAGGCTCACTGCAACCTCTGCCTCCCATGTTCAAGCAATTCTCCTGCCCCAGCTTCCCAGGTAGCTGGGATTACAGGCATGCATCACCATGCCCAGCTAATTTTTTTGTATTTTTAGTTGATATGGGGTTTCACCATATTAGCCAGGCTTGTCTCGAACTCCTGACCTTGTGATCTGCCCACCTGAGCCTCCCAAAGTGCTAGGATTACGGGCATGAGCCACTGCACCCAGCCTGCTCCGGCCTAATCTCTAAGAGGCAACCTTGGCCACCACTGGCAACGGGACCCTGGGTTCTGATCAATTAGTGTAACAAATCCGTGAATGCAAAATGACTCAGGTCTTTCATCCTGATGGTGACCCCAAAAAGGGCTGTCTTTCCTGGAAGTCTTTCCTCTCTGGGGTTCCAGGCTCAGCCCAGCCAAAGGGGCGTCCTTTGCTCCCCTTTCAAAGAGGGTTCCTACCCCTAGGGAGTCGGCGATGGTCACTGCTGTGGCCTCCAATCCACCCTACTCAGGAAGCCATCACCAGAACGACACTCCCGCTCTAGGAATGTGCCGACTGCGACTACCCTGCTCTTTCTCCCAGACCCCTACAGTTCAAGTCCTGGGAACCCCTGGACTACCGGGGAAAGGGACGATTCGGGGTGGGAACAATAAAGCACCAAATGTGCTCCAGGCCGCACCCCCTCGTCTTGAGAAAGCAGCCCCACACTGCCCTCTGGTGGCACCATACACATGGTTATCCAGGTAGGGGCAGGTCTCAGTTTAGAACCTTGAACTAGTCTCCCAGCCCTAAGCACCATCCTGAGGAAAGGCTCCTGTGCCCCTCATTTCCCTTTGCTGAGATCTAAATTCACTGGTGGCTCTCAGTGTCCTCAATTCACATATCCCCCAAGATCCCTGTACTCTCCAGAGCTGGGGGCCACCAAGAAAGTGTTCTGAAAGTCATTTGAGGAGAAAAGGTGGGTCAGTCTTCTGTCCCATGCTAGAGCTGGCCTCCAACAAACTGCTCAACCCTCAAGGAGTCCCTTGGGATGGTGACAGCCAGGAAAGGCTGCCAGGAAAAGGGCTGGGAGACATAAGCCCTTAAAGCAGAGGGTTCCTGCCCCTAGGGAGTGAGTGATGGGCACAGCTGTGGCCTCCTTAAAAGTCACCCAGGCTGCAGTGCAGCGGCACGATCTCGGCTCACTGTAACCTCCACCTCCCGGGTTCAAGCGTTTCTCCTGCCTCAGCCTCCCAAGTAGCTGGGATTACAGTTGCCTGCCACCACACCCAGCTAATTTTTTGTACTTTTAATAGAGGTAGAGTTTTACCGTGTTAGCCAGGATGGCCTCGATCTCCTGACCTTGTGATCCGCCCACCTTGGGCTCCCAAAGTGCTGGGATTACAGCCACCGCGCCCAGCCTGAATGGAGCCAGACAGGTGAGTTTCTAGAGGGGGACTTGGAGGGTCAGGCAGGTGTGGAAAGGTGCCTTTTGTTAGTTGCCTGTGAGGTAGTGGACACAGCACTAACTAGGAGCTGAGGTTCAAGTCTGTGTGTTTGTGCCCTGGCCAGGAAGCTTGGTGAGGAGCAGTGGAACATCTGGAAGTGGAGGGAGGGGGCAGAGCTGCCTGTGACACCAGGACCAATCTCCAGTTACCCCCCCCCCCGCCCATTCACACACACACTAGCCAGTGTCATCTCTAATTCTCTACTCACCCACCCTACCCCAAATCAGGACAAGCTGATTACAAATAAATCCTGGAGAAAGCCAAAACTATGACGGCACAGTGCACTTTACATCATTAGCTAAAAGCTTCTCTGGATCAAGTGCCCCCTCCCATGCAACCCAGAAAACAAACAGTCCTCGCTGCAGCCCAGCACCAAGACCTGAGCTGAGTTCCCTGTGTCACCTCCAAGAAGTCCTGTCCTCTCTAATCCTCTAGACCCCAAACGACCCAAGTGGTTTTGGAAGATGTTTCCTGTCTGGAAAGACCAGAGGATAGCATTGCCCCCTTCACTACTTCCCTGGGGTCCCCTAGCTTTGTCAGAGGCTCTGAGACCCCCTCCAGAACCTCCCTTCCCCAGCTAAGAAGGGGTTCAGGAAATCCTGGCTGTTGACTGAGAAACCAGCCAAAAAGTTTGGTATCCTGGGAGAAGGGCTGATGAGAGAGGATCCAGTAAGGGCCCCAATTCTCAGCCTGTCAGAGGAGTGTACCTGACCCTCCCAGATTCCCGTGGGAGAAAGCAGCCTCCCCACTTTACTCCATTCCGACATCCTGACCCTGAAAGGGACTGAGGAAAGAGGCCCAGAGTTGTTGTCAGTCACAGAGCAGACAGGATCCAGAAGCCAACTCTCCCTAGCCCCAGCCCAGGGTACTGTGGGAAGGGCACACACAGGCCAGGGACCTTGGTTCTTCCCTCACTGGCCTGTGACATAGAGAAATTCCCTCTTCACTCTGTAAAAGATGGACTTTAAATTAGCATGTGGCTCTATCAGCAAGAGCAGTGTCTGTTTCTAGGTGTAAGTTAAAATAATAAATTACCTTTCCATGATTTAGGGGGTAAGAAGAAGGACCTCTGCCCTGTGTTATCACCACTACAGCCCCTCTGGGAGGTGAAGAGATCCACTTCACAGGCTGACAGGTGAGTGCAATTAACTCAGCTGGCGAGTAGCAATGCAGTAGCCAGGTCATTCACAGCTGAGTGGGGACAGAGGAATGGGAGGCTGAAGGGCATTTGGACAGTAAGAGAAGCAGATCTCACCACAGATCTGGCCATTTAAAGCCCCCCTTTCTGGAAGCTGATGTCATTACCTGTCCCCTTGGGGCCTGTTAAAGGGTATCACCTGGTTCCACCCTGGCCTATCCATCTTAGGGACAGGTTGGGAGCTAAGTCTCTAGGTTTTGCTATGTAAGGATCCCTGGGCAAGCAGGTGCCAGACACCCTGTCCTGGTTATCTGAGTCAGGCCATAGTCCTAGCACAGCTGCATGAGGGCATAAGAAAAGCTGTCTTCTAGAAGCAGAAGGGCCCAAGTATGAAGGGAACAAATCCTAAACCTCTCTGGGATTCTGTCTCCCCAGATGGGAAACAGGCCTAGAGCGGAATTCAGTGGTACAGCCCTGTGCCAGCCCCCACTCCATCCTGGGGCCTAATTATTCTGTCCTGAAGGCATGGAGCTGGGCGGCGCCAGGAAGCAGCAGACTCAAGGGCAAGACTGCTCACAGTCCCGAGGGGTCTGGGAAAGGCAACGCAAGTGGGGGTGAGGATGGGCGTTGCTGCATCCATGCCGCAGGTTCCAAATGGTAAAGTTTGCCACCAACCCGTTCCTGGGATCTGAGCCCCCCTCAAGAGTCCAACTCTTAGAATGGAGACTTGGTGCTACCTACAACCTTACTACCCAGATGGTCGGGGAGAGAAGGGAACAGAAAGTGGCAGCTTTCCTGGGGACCCAGCAGAAGCCGGCAGTCCCAGGGAAGGGAGCTCCGGGGCCCTGGACCAGCCCCCCAACACGCCCTGACCCTCGAACGCACCAGCCAAGAGCGCACCTCAGCCTCCTCTACCGTGCCCCTGGCCCCCCACTGTCTCTTCCTGCAGATCCGTCTTCCATCCAGTCAGCGTCCGCGATCAGTCGGTCGGTCGGCACCTTGGTGAGGCCTGTCGGGGTGGCCAGGAGTCCGGGCGTGGAGGTCAGCGCTGCGGGGAGGCGGGGCCGCGGGGCGGGCTGCGGCGGAAGGGCGAGTCGGGCTCGGGGCCGTGGCCCCGACGCAGTCGCCCGGCGCCCCAGGGCACGCAGCCGCCCAGGCCGAGCGCAGAGGCCAGCAGCGCAGGGGGACGGCCGCGGCGGCCGCGGCGCTGGCCCTTCTTCAGGCGCGACCCGTGCGCCGCCAGGTAGAGCTCGGCCTGCGCCACGCCGCCACTTAGGCGGCTCAAGCTCTCCGCACGGTGCGCTAGGCGCAGCTCCGCCGCCAAGAAAACGCGGTGCAGCTGCAGCACGCGGCTCTCCAGCTCGGACACCAAGCGCCGGCGGCCCTCCACTTCCAGCAGCCGCCGCCGCGCCTCCGCCAGCTCCAGAGCGCGGCCTCCTGCCCCCGCTGCCGCGCCAGAGTCCCCTCCGGGCCCGGCGATCCCCGTGCCCCCGCTAGCGCCCTGGCGCCAGCGCTGCAGCTCCTGGCCCTCGGCCGCGCCTGCCGAAGTCCCGGCTCTGTCTGGCAGCAGCTGGGACTGAGCCGGGGTCGGGGTCAGGGTCAAGGTCGGAGTTGGGGGCGGGGGCTGAGGGGATGGCATGGGCTCCCGGGGCGGCGGCGGCGACCCTTGCTCAGCCGTCCCTTCTTGGGCCCCCGGGCCGCAAGCGCTGATGCGGCAGCCCGGCATCCCCCGCCCCCCGGCGGTTTGCGGCTGTCGGTGCGCTGGGAGGATGAGCACCCAGCACCCGAAAAGCTAGACTCAGCCGCAGCCCCCAAGCCTGGGCCGCGCCCGCCGCCCGCGCGTCTTATAGAACACAGGGCGGAGCGACGGGCAGCGCAGCCAATCAGAGACGGGCACGCCCTGAACCCGCCCCCTCCCCTGCTACGCTTTCAGGGCATTCCCCAAACCCTTCAGGTCCTACCCTTCGCCGGATTTTGCCCCGCTAAGGCATCCCGTCCCCGTTCGCCTCTCCCCAGGTTTTGGCCGCAAAGGGAACTTCATATTCCCTGGTTTTGCCTCTCAGAGTCATAAACTCTGGTAGCTGGTGTTTAGAAAATCATGGAATCTGGTCTCCACCCGGTGGAGGGGTCTTGCCTAAGGCCTCTGTGCTAAGAGAGTCTGGGCTATTACACAGGAGGCTTGACTCCTTGTGCAGTGCTCCTCTCACACCTTATGCTGCCCTTGGCCGAATCATTTCCGCCTGGTCTCTCCTGGGCCGCAGGGCTCTCCAGGACCCCCTCCTCCCACCTCACTGGAGTTAACGCAGAGGGACCACTGCTGTTCTGGTGGGTTGGGGATCTGGCTGGGCTGATTTCACGCTAGGTAGGGTCCTTCATTCGCAGAACAAATACCTCATCGCTGCCGCTGAGCCTGCAAACCTTGGTGGCACCACAGAGGAGCCCTGGATCCCACGGTTTGCAAAGTTCTTTCCCTGCCGCTGCTGCTTTTTTTCTCCTCCCAGCGGGTGTTCCTAGACCTTTTAAAGATAGGGAAACTGGCTCGGCGCGGTGGCTCACGCCTGTGATCCCAGCACTTTGGGAGGCCGGGTGGATCACCTAAGATCAGGAGTTCGAGACCAGCCTGGCCAACGCGGTGAAACCCCCGTCTCTACTGAAAACACAAAAAAATTAGCTGGGTGTGGTGGTGCACACCTGCAGTTCCAGCTAGTCGGCAGGCTGAGGGAGGAGAATTGCTTGAATTCAGGAGGCTGAGTTTGCAGTGAGCCGAGATTGTGCCACTGCACTCCAGTCTGGGCAACAGAGAAAGACTCTGTCTTAAAAAATAAATAAAAATAAAAAGGAGAGAAATTGAGATCCTGAAGGGCAGTAGTGCTTTGCCCAATGTCATATTGCCGACTGGTGGCTGAACCCAGATTCCTGAATCTGGACAGAAATCACCAGCTCAGCCATTCATGCCATCTAGGGGCAGATACCTGAGTCTAGTGCTCTTGGTGGAGGGATGCTCCTTATGTGGGACTTTAGCTGACGATTCTCATCTGGCCCTGACAAAATGATAGAACAGAACCCTGCCCGCTTTTCCTCCAACAGAAATGACCCTGCCATACCAAACACTAGTCCAGACACCAGGAGCCTGCCTCAGTTTCCATCATTTGAAGGTGTCATCAGAGATGGGAGGTCTCTGTGGTGGGTGGGGGCAAGGCTCAGTGGTCCAGAAACCAGCTCTGAACCCAAGTGGGAAAGACTGCAACAGACCCTGGGCTCAGGAGGACCTGTGGAAGCTGTGGCCAGTGTGACTGCTGCAACCTGAAGAGGCAGATGGCATGCTTGCGTGATGTGCAGGATGATGACAGAGCTCCCGCATGGAAACATGCTCTCTAAGTGCTTTCAGGTGTCAGACTGAGTGAGACTGAGTGATGGGGACTCATGGGTGGGCGAGACAGTTCGGCTCCAAAGAGGCAGCTCAGAAGGAGCTGGGAGAGGAGGGCGGGTGGATGAGAGGCGCCAGGCACAGTGAAGAGGAAGGGAGGAGGGCTTGGGGGAGGGAGGAGGTCAGAGGCAGGGTGCCCAGTGACCAGGGGTGGTAGAGACTCAATGAGGGAAAGGGGAGGGCTTGTGGGGATGACTCAGAGAGAGGAGAGGTCTCAGTGAGGGGAAGAAGAACTGTTCAGTGACTGTGCTGGGGCTCAGTGGGGGGAAGGGGCTGAGTGTGTACCAAGGTGCTGGCAGAGGCTCCCCATAGGGGAAGGGAGGTTCAGTGAGGGGCTTGGGAACTCAGAGAGTTGGAGGGGCTCAGTGAAGATGAGGGAGGCTCAGGAGATACCAGGTTGCCTCCAGCAAGGAGGATTGCCCTGCTGAATGGTGGCATCCCTTTGAACAGTCTTTTTTGTGTCATGCAACGATAGGTCTTTCTCAGGGCAGAAGCCCCCCATCATCCTGGTGGTGGGGAGATGGACAGAGAGGCAGATCATTGCTCCTAACTCCTGGGGGAATGATTCAGGGGAAGAAGACTAGGACTTGCCCTCAGCCCCCACCACTGACCAGATCCAGAGAACCAGTCAGACCTGGGTCAAAACCCACACATGCTGCCCATCTGGGTGACCTTGGGCAAGTAATTTCTCTGAGTGGGAGAAGATACATTTTATTTTATTATTTATTTATTTATTTTTAAGACAGAGTCTCACTCTGTTGCCCATGCTGGAGTGCAATGGCACGATCTCGGCTCACTGTAACCTCTGCCTCCTGGGTTCAAGAGATTCTTCTGCCTCAGCCTCCTGAGTAGCTGGGATTAGAGGTGTGTACCACCATGCCTGGCTAAATTTTTTTGTATTTTTAGTAGAGATGGGGTTTCACCATGTTAGCCAGGATAGTCTCCATCTCCTGACCTCGTGATCTCTCTGCCTTGGCCTCCCAAAGTCCTGGGATTACAGGCGTGAGCCACCAGGCCTGGTGTGCAATATATATTTATTGGAGGAATGAATGTTCTCTGTCTCCTGATATCATCCCTAAGAGAGGGCAATTGATAACCTCTTCCTGATGAGAAACCAAAGCCCAGAGTAGTGAAGAAGCTTGTCCGAAGTCACACAGCAGGTAAATGGCCAAGCAAGGATTTACAGACGGGACCCACTCCATGGTCACTCCTTACCTCCCTGTTATTCTCAGACAATGCTCCCTGTTGCTATCCTCTGTGGTATTTCCCACAAGTCATATATATTTGTTTATTGTTTAATTATTAATAGTCTCCCCTTGACTGCTTTTGCTTATCACTAGAATCCCCTGAAGTCACGTAGAGTGCCTGGCCCCATAAGGCACTCAATAAACATTTGTTTGAATTGAAAAATAACACAATGGGGGCCTGGCTAGGTGGCTCACACCTGTAATCCCAGCACTTTGGGAGGCCAAGACAGGCAGATCACAAAGTCAAGAGATCAAGACCATCCTGGCCAACATGGTGAAATACCATCTCTACTAAAAATACAAAAATTAGCTGGGCATGGTGGCGAGTGCCTGTAATCCCAGCTACTTGGGAGGCGGAGGCAGGATAATCACTTGAACCCCGGGGGGCAGAGGTTGCAGTGAGCCAAGATTGTGCCACTGAACTCCAGCCTGGCAACAGAGCAAGACTCCAACTCAAAAAAAAAAAAAAAAAAAGAAAGAAAAAGAACACAAGGGTAGGCTGGGTGCTGTGGCTGATGCCTGTCATCCCAAGATTTTGGGAGGCCTAGGAGAGTGGATCATGAGATCAGGAGTTCAAGACCAGGCTGGTCAAGATAGTGAAACCCTGTCTCTACTAAAAACACGAAATAATTAGCCAAGTGTGGTGGCGTGTGCCTGTAGTCCCAACTACTCAGGAGGCTGAGGCAGGAGAATTGCTTGAACCCAGAAGGCAGAGGTTGCAGTGAGCCGAGATCGCGCCACTGCACTCCAGCCGTGGGGACAGAGCGAGACTCCATCTCAAAAGACAAGACAAGAAAAGAAAAACAACACAAGGGTAAAGCTTGTTGAGAATGGAGAAGTCCCCTTCTCCATTTATTCATTTATTCCTTTTAATTTTTTTTTTTTTTTTTTGAGGTGGAGTCTGGCTCTACTGCCCCAGGCTAGAGTGCAATGGCGTAATCTTGGCTCACTGCAACCTCTGCCTCCTGGGTTCAAGCAATTCTCCTACCTCAGTCTCCTGAGTAGCTGGGATTACAGGTACCTGCCACCACGCCCAGCTAATTTTTTTTTTTTTTTTTTTTTTTTTTGAGATAGAGTCACACTGTTGTTCAGGCTGAAGTGCAGTGGTAAAATACAGCGCCCACCACCACGCCCAGCTAATTTTTGTATTTTTTTAGCGCCCACCACCACGCCCAGCTAATTTTTGTATTTTTTTAGTAGAGACAGGGTTTCACCATATTGGCCAGGATGGTCTCAATCGCCTGACCTCGTGATCTGCCTGCCTCAGTTTCCCAAAGTGCTGGGATTACAGGCATAAGCCACCTCGTCTGGCCTAAGTTTTGTATTTTTAGTAGAGACAGGGTTTCACCATGTTGGTCAGGCTGGTCTTGAATTCCTGACCTCACATAATCCACCCACCTTGGCCTCCCAAAGTGCTGGGATTAAAGGCATGAGCCACCGTGCCCTGCCCATTCATTTATTCTTCATTTCACTCATGCAAAAGCTGTTCATCACCTCTTCTGCTGTGCTGGCGGCTGGAGGTACAGCAATAATCAGATGGGCCCTGCCCTCCGTGAATGTAGGGGGAACACAGGCAGGCAGTGGCAGTTCAGTGAGGTTTCTACCAGGATGGAGACAGCACAGAGAAAACGAAACAGCACTGACCCCAGCCTGGTGGGGAGGAGACCAGGGAGGGTTTCCTGCAGGAGATGATATGTAAACTGAGACCTGAAGGACACATCAAAGTGAGTGCTGCAGAGGTGGTGGGGGGAAAGGACCAGGATTCAGGATGGGAACACTATGTGCCAAGGACCACAAGTGAGAGAGACTTGGCATCTATCAGCTTTCTTTCTTTTTTTTGAGACAGAATTTTGCTCTGTTGCCCAGGCTGGAGTGGTGCAGTGGTGTGATCTCAGCTCACTGCAACTTCTGCTCCCAGGTTCAAGCGATTCTTCTACCTCAGCCTCCCGGGTAACTGAGACTACAGGCACGCGCCACTACGCCCAGCTAATTTTTGTATTTTTAGTAGAGATGGCGTTTTACCATATTGGCCAGGCTGGTCTTGAACTCCTGACCTCGTGATCTGCCCGCCTCGGCCTCCCAAAGTGCTGGGATTACAGGCGTGAGCCACCGAGCCCGGCCCTGTCAGCTTTCTTAACTGCTCCTGAGCACCACACTCTCACAATGGAAAGGAGCCACAGTCCACCACCTGTTAGTGCACAGCCAGCCCAGCAAACACAACATCGAATGAATAAATGAATCTTTAAACTATAATGATTATTGCATTTTTCTGATCTTTATAAAAGGTATAAAGTACATTCCTTTTGTAGAAAATCTGGAAAACAGATAAAATACTAAAAAAGAACAGGCTGTCACGCTAGGTGGCTTATACCTATAATCCTAGCATTTTGAGAGACTGAGGCAGGAGGATCACTTGAGCACCCAGGAGTTCAAGATCAGCCTAGGGGACATGTTGAGATCTCATCTCTAGGAAAAATAAAAATAAATTAGCTGAGCATGGTGGTGCATGCCCATAGTCCCAGCTATTCAGGAGGCTGAGGTGGGAGGATGGTTTGAGCCCAGGAAGCTGAGGCTGCAGTGAGCTGTATCTTTCCACTGCACTCCAGCCTGAGTGACAGAGCAAGACTCCATCTAAAAAAAAAAAAACAAAGAATAGGCCAAGGACAGTGGCTCATGCCTATAATCTTAGCACTTTGGGAGGCCAAGATTGGAGGATCACTTTAGGCCAGGAGTTTGTTTGTTTTTTTTTTAAATTTTTTTACTTTGTTTCTTGAGACAGAGTCTCAAGTTGTCACCCAGATGGGGTTTCAACATCTTGGCCAGGCTGGCCTTGAACTCCTGACCTCGTAATCCATCCGCCTCAGCCTCCCAAAGTGCTGGGATTACAGGCATGAGCCACCGAGCCTGGCCAGGCCAGGAGTTTGAGACCAGCCTGGGCAACATAGCAAGACTCTATCTCTACAAAAAATTTTAGCCAGTGCCTGAGGCACTTCTGGCTCCGGGCCACTGGCTCAAAAAAAGAAAAAAAAATTTGTTTGAGGCTGCAGTGAGCTAGTATTGTACCACTGCACTCCATCCTGGGAGACAGAGCAAAACCCTGTCTCAGATGAAAAGAAGAAGAAGAAGGGAGAGGGGGAGGTGAAGCGGGGGGAAAGGAGGGAGAGGAGGGAGAGGAGGAAGAGGAAGAAGAGGAAGAAGAAAGAAGAAAAAAGAAGAAGAGGAGGAGGAGAAACAGGCTGGGCAAGGTGGCTCACACCTGTAATCTCAGTACTTTGGGAGGCTTAGGCAGGTGGATCACTTGAGGTCAGGAGTTCAAGACCAGCCTGACCAACATAGTGAAACCCGTAAACCTCTCTACTAAAAATACAAAAATTAGGCCAGGTGTGGTGGTTCATGCCTGTAGTCTTAGCACTTTAGGAGGCCAAAGAGGGCAGATCATGAGGTCAAGAGCTCAAGACCATCCTGGCCAATATGGTGTCTCTACTAAAAATACAAAAATTAGCTGGGCATGGTGGTACCCACCTGTAGCCTAGCTACTCTGAGGCTGAGGCAGGAGAATCACTTGAACTTGGGAGGTAGAGGTTGCAGTGAGCCGAGATGGTACTGCTGCACTCCAGCCTGGGCAACAAGAGCGAAACTCCATCTTAAAAAATTTAAAAAAGAAGAAAACAGAAGAAAGGAGCCTGAAATCAGAAAGACTAATGTTTGAATTAAAGTTCATTCTTTTTCTAGCTATGTAACCCTGGGAGAGACAGTTGTTCTCTGAACGTCAGGGCTTTCATCTGAGAAGTGGCATGGCTAATATCTATGGCATAGACAAGAACATTGATGCATGCAAGGATGTGCCCAAATTTCACCTTTCTATGGTCATATCTATCTGACTCAAAACCTGTGGCTTGGGTCTGAGATCCTGAAAGAGAAGAGGCAGCTGAGATGGGACCAGGTTCCAGAGTCTGGTCCAGTACACATCTACCGCCTCCTGGACAACGGCCAGAAGAGACAGACTAGTGGTGGGGATAGTGACTGGCTGTGGCCCCAAGCAGGATCCCCAATCCCCTCCATCAGCTGAGAGTGGCGTGGAGAAGGGCTCAAGGACTGAGAAGTCTACCTCTATCCCAGCCTAGAATATTTGAGGCCTCTGCTAAGAGATCTAACCTCTCCCTTTCAGCCTCTCCCTGGCAACCTGGGCTGACACCCTCTAGGAAGTGATCTCAGCTTAATAATTTAGCAGATGCAGACAAAGATAGCAGCTCTGAAAATAACCCAGTCAGGCCCCAGCCTCCACCTGTTTCCTTAACGACTCCCCTGCCCTCCCTGCAAGATCTCTGGTTGCCCCACATACCTGTCAGTGTTCTGCCTGCCTGTGAACACCTGATTCAACGCTTCCTCTTTCTTCTCCTCCTCCTTACTCCTTTCTCTCCATTGTTATATCAAGAGCTTTTATATCGGTCGGGCACAGTGGCTCACGCCTGTAATCCCAGCACTTTTGGAGGCTGAGGCAGGTGGATCACCTGAGGTTAGGAGTTCAAGACCAGACTGGTCAACATGGTGAAACCCCATCTCTACTAAAAATACAAAAATTAGCCAGGCATGGTAGTGCATACCTGTAGTCCCAGCTACTTGGGAGGCTGAGGCAAGAGAATCTCTTGAACCTGGGAGGCAGAGGTTGCAGTGAGCCAAGATTGTGTCACTGCACTCCAGCCTAGATGACAGTGCAAGACTCCTTCTCACAAAAAAATTAATTAATTAATTAATTAATTAAAGAGGTTTTGCCTTGCTGTCACCAGCATGGAGACTTTGTATTGTGTCCCGTTCTTAGTGCTCGAATGTCCCAACCTGAAGCTAAAGAAACCGCCCTGGCTGCACATGGCGTTGGCCTTGACTGTGTATGCTTTGGTGGTGGTGTCTTGCTTTCTCATCACCAGAGGAATAATTTGTGACATTATTGCTGAACCTCCAAATTTTGGCCCTATGACTGATGAACATGTGTATCAGAGGCCAGTAGCTTTCTTGGCCTACAGAGTAAATGGACAATATATTATGGAAGGACTTGCATCCAGCTTCCTGTTTACAATGGGAGGTTTAGGTTTCATAATCCTGGACCGATTTAATGTATCAAATATCCCAAAACACAATAGATTTTTTCTTCTATTCATTGGATTCATCTGTGTCCTGTTGAGTTTTTTTGTGTTGTTGTTGTGGTTTGGTTTTGTTTTGTTTTGTTTTTTTTGAGATGGAGTCTCACTCTGTCACCCAGGATGGAGTGCAGTGGCGAAATCTCGGCTCACTGCAAGCTCCGCCTCCCGGGTTCAAGCGATTCTCCTGCCTCAGCCTCCCAAGTAGCTAGGACAACATGCACTCGCCACCATGCCCAGCTAATTTTTTTATGTGTGTATTTTTAGTAGAGACAGGGTTTCACCGTCTTGGTCAAGCTGGTCTTGAACTCCTGACCTTGTGATCCACCCTCCTCAGCTTCCCAAAGTGCTGGGATTACAGGCGTGGGCCACCCCGCCCCGCCCTGTCAATGAAGTTTTAATGGCTATACCAATCCTCCAATATGAAATGTGGAAAAGAATGAAGAGCAGCAGTAAAGGAAGTGTCCAGTGAAAAAAACAGGAAGTGTATTGAAGCTTGGACTAGAATTTCTTCTTGGTATTAAAGAGACAAGTTATCACAGTATTTTTTTTCCTGCTGACCTGCTGACCTACCAACAATGAAGAGTGGCATTTTCTTCTTAGTTTTTTATTTCTTAAAGAAAATATACTCCAGATCTACATCCATAATATCAAATAAAGTGATTTTTTTTACAACCCCCTTAACATTTTTTGGAGATAACATTTCTGATTTTCAGAAATTAACATAAAATCAAAAGCAAGATTCCCTAAACTGAGAACTCTGGACAGCTGATCAGTTTTATCTATGGTGCTTTGCCTTTAACTAGAGTGTGTGATGGTAGATTATTTCAGATATATATATATAAGACTGTTTCCTCAACAAGAAAATGCATGAAAGGAGCAGAAATATATACTCTTTCTAAGGGCCGGGCACGGTGGCTCATGCCTATAATCCCAGCACTTTGGGAGGCCGAGGCAGGTGGATCACGAGGTCAAGAGATCAAGACCATCCTGGTCAACAAGGTGAAACCCAGTCTCTACTAAAAATACAAAAATTAGCTGGGCATGGTAGTGCGTGCCTGTAGTCCCAGCTACTCGGGAGGCTGAAGCAGGAGAATTGCTTGAAACCAGAAGGCGGAGGTTGCGGTGAGCCGAGATCACGCCATTGCACTCCAGTCTGGGTAACAACAGCGAAACTCCGTCTCAAAAAAAAAAAAAAAAAAACTTTTTCTAATTAAAAATTTTTTTAAAAAGAGTTTTTATATCAATGAGGGCTTAAAGAAATCTTTTCTAGAAGCCAGAAGTCTTGGGCTTAGTTTACTGTGCAAAGCTGAACAAATCCTTCACCTCTCTTAGTCTCTGTTCCTGCATTTGTAAAATGAAGCCTCTGGAAGCCAGGTATGGTAGCTCATGCTTATAATCCCGGCACTTTGGGAGGCTGAGGCAGGAAAATTGCTTAAACCCAGGAATTTGAGGCCAGCCGAGGTACCTAGGGAGCCCCTGCCTCTACAAAACAAAAAATTAAAAATAGTTAGGCATGCTTGTGAATGCCTGTAGCCCCAGCTACTCAAGAAGCTGAGGTTGGAGGATCTTGAGCCCAGGAGTTCAAGGCTGCAGTTAGCCAAGATTGTGTCACTTCTCTCCAGCCTGGGCAACCGAGTAAGGCCCTGTCTCAAAAAAAATTTTTTTTTGAAATAAGGCCTCTGGACTCCTAAATATGACATGAACAAAATGTTGGTGGGAGTGTCAATTACTTGGATAGGGTACTAGATGTCTTCTCCACTAAGGCACAACTGCAGTGTCAGTGTCATCTCAGTCAACAGCGCTGCAATCCATCCATCCTGCTGCTCTACACAGAGAGCCCAGTTTTCTCTGTGTTTGGTTTCTCTTGTGAAGAAAGTTTTGCCCTAGTTATTATTCCTAGAATAAAAGGCTGTGACTTGTGTTCGCAGTGGAGGTAGCAGGTTCCATGCGCTTTTGATGCTTCATCACATTTTTGGTGTCTCTTTTTTCTGCAGTTTTCATGGTTTTATTTAAACACAAAAGCATGCACGTGAGCTGTCTATTTGTTTTCTTTGCTGCACAGACTGGAATTGGGGTTGGTGACTCTGGTGACGAGCGGGGCTGCTCTTTCCACACAGGCTTTATGGTTCTCGGAGGAAACATTTCAAGCTGTCTCAGCACACTAAGACTGGCTGCACACCAGCAGCCCTTCCAGCTTCTTGACATTGTGAACCAGGAACTTCCAGAAGCCACAGGGCAGCATGTGCCTTGCTTTCTTGTTCTTCCTATAACCAATGCTGGGCATCAAGATTTGGCGCTTTAATCTTCTGTGTACCCTACTGCCAGTAACGCTGGGTTTCTGTCAGTTACACTTAATTTTCACTTAACAGTCTGATCCATCCATCAGACTGCTCATGATGCCACATGAACTTCCTGGTCCTCTTTTTGATGATCTTGGGCTGCCTGAGGGGTGTGAGGGTGGCCATGCTCCTGAGAAGATGGCTGCCACTTCTGTAGACAGCCCAGAGGAAGAGAAATTTATCACATTTCTGACAAGTACAAATCATACCTTCCCCCGGAAGCATTGCTCAAATCACCCCACCTTTAGGGTCTCAGTTTTCACACCTTTAAAATAGCCACATCTTGAAGGGCAAGTTGGACAACATCATTCCATAAGGGCTGAGATCACCTCTGTTTTCATGCATTTGTTCAACGTCATTAAGCACCTACTACGCACCAGCCACTGTGCAAGGTTCTAGGGGCACAGCAGTAAACACAAGAGGTGCAAAGTGCTAGGGGCATAGCAGTAAATACAAGAGGTACAATGCAATCCCTGTTTCCACAAAGCTTACATCTCAGAAATCAAAATAGTTCAATCTCAAGAAATGTACCATGAGGGAATAATTAAATACCTTCTAATATTTATGGCTGGGATAGTGACTCACACCTATAGTCCTAGCTATAGTCCTAGTTACTCAGGAGTCTGAGGCAGGAGAATTGCTTGAGCCCAGTAGTTTAAAGCTGCAGTAAGCTATGATTACACCACTGTACTACAGCCTGGGTAACAGAGTGAAACCCTATCTTTAAATAAACAGAGTGAAACCCTATCTCTAAATAAATAAATATATATATATTTTTTGAGACAGAGTCTTGCTCTTATCGCACAGCCTGGAGTGCAATGGCATGATCTCAGCTTACTGCATTCTCTGCCTCCTGGGTTCAAGTGATTCTTCTGCCTCAGCCTCCCAAGTAGCTGAGATTACAGGTGCCTGTCACCACACCTGGCTGATTTTTGTATTTTTAGTAGAGACAGGGTTTTGCCATGTTGGCCAGGCTGGTCTCTAACTCTTGACCTGGGGATCCGCCCACCTCAGCCTCCCAAAGTACTGGGATTACAGGCATGAGCCAACACACCCGGCCATAAATAAATATTTTTAAAATATTTTAAGACTAAGCATGGTAGCTTATGCCTATAATCTCAGCACTTTGGGAAGCTGAGGCAGGAGAGTCGCTTGAAGCCAGGAGTTCAAAACCAGCTTGAGAAACAAAGCAAGACCCTGTGTCTGCAAAAATAAAAATAAAAACATTAGCCAGGCATGGTGGTGTGTTCCTATAGTCCCAGCTACTCAGGTGGCTGAGATGGGAGGATTGCTTGAGCCTGGGATTTTGAGGTTGCAGTGTACTATGATTGTACCACTGCACTTCAGCCTGGGTGACAGAGACCCTGTTTCTAAAAAAAAATTTTTTTACAGGTATGAGCCACCCTGCCCAGCCTACATTTTTTTTTTAATTAAAATATTTACTTAGTGCTTACCTTGTGCCAAGTACTGATCCTATAAGGTACTCTATTTTGCAATACCCCATTTTGCAGATGAGGAAATTGAAGGACAGAGCAGCAAATAGCTAAGATCACGTGGTCAAGGAGCAGTGGAAGTAGGATTCAATACCCTGGTAGTGTGCTCCAGAATTCTTCCCCAGAAATCATGACCAAGGAATAAGCTAGTGACATGATAGAAAAGGGAGTCAGGGAGGTATTAAATATGCTCCTTTAGTGACATTTAAGCTGAGACCTGAAAGATGAGCAGAAACCAGGCATGTGGAATTGGGGAGTGAGATTTCCCAGCAGAAGAAATTGCAAGTGCAAAGGCCCCGAGGCAGAAAAACCAGTGTGTTCAGTGCCTGGTGAGCCAGCAGGAAAGTGGGGAGGGCTAAGGTAGAGATGCAGCTTGGGCCTGAAGGCCAGGGTGAGGATTTCAGATTTTACTTTAATTGCAGCGTAAGCCTTTAAATGGTTTAAGTTGGGGATCAACATGATCTGATTTGTTTTTAAAAGATCATGCTGTTTGCTGTGTAAAATGAATGGACTAAAAGGGAGCAAGAAGGGAATGAAGACCAGTTAGGAGATTACTGCCATGATCCCAGCTGAGAGGGGATGATGCCAGGCGTGCTGGCAAGGGCTGGGAGGGGGGATGGGTTTGAGTTTTATTTGGAGGTGAATGAAAGGACTTGTACATGGATTAGTGTGGGGGTGAGAGAATGCTCTCTGGCTTTGTGAATGAAGCAGCAGGGTGGATGGAGGGTACCCTTGACTGAAATGGGAAAAACCAAGAAAGAACAGATCTGGCTGAGAAATCAAGGTCAAGAATTTTTGGGGCCGGGGGCAGTGGCTCACACCTGTAATTCCCATACTTTGGGAGGCCAAGACAGGAGGATTGCTTGAGCCTAGGAGTTCCAGACTAGCCTGGGTAATGGAGTGAGATCCCATCTCTACAAAAATAACTTTTTTTTGAGATGAAGTCTCGCTTTGTAGCCCAGGCTGGGGTGTAGTGGTGTAATCTCAGCTCCCTACTACCTCTGCTTCCTGGGTTCAAGCGAGTCTGCCTCAGCCTCCTGAGAAGCTGGTATTCCAAGTGCATGCTGCCCTGTCCAGATGCTTTTTTTATTTTTGTAGAGATGGGATTTCACCATGTTGGCTGGGCTGGTCTAGAACTCCTGATCTCAAGAAATCTGCCTGCCTTGGCCTCCCAAAGTGCTGGGATTACAGGCATAAGCCACTGTGCCTGGCCTTTACAAAAAAAAAATTTTTTTTTGAGACGAAGTTTCTCTCTTGTTGCCCAAGCTGTAA